TGAATGGTTGGCTTGATGATAAATTCGAAAGTTTTCTACGTAAATTCAGTACTAGCGCTACGCGAGGCAGACTGGTTGGTTCTGCCGGATTGCGTGTTGTTTCGTTTCTGAAATAATTTTTTCTATGCTGCAGTCCTTCATATATTTCACACGGTCGAAACATAGTTAGAATATAATTGGCATACAAGTCGGCTGTCTTTTTCCACCTTGAATAGCTTGGATGATCCTCCTTTGGTCTTTTTCCAGCAGCTTTTGGCACTTTTCCTTTGAAGATTTGTGTGCGTTGCTTAGCACACAGTGTTTGTCCAAATCTTGCTTGTAAATAAAAACCTCCTTGAAATTTGAACCATTTTGATCTTGTCGAGTTTTTGTGTTCCTCATTTGCGCTACTAGATAGCATTTAATCGATTAATGTTTCAGTTAATATTATTATTATTATTCTCTCAGCTGAAAATGACGCCCCTCTTGCTCTTCCGCTCCCTTTCGCTCCTTTGCGACTTCCTACATCAGCTGGGACTGTGAAAAACCACCCCTGGCGTTGTTCATCTTCTCAAACCTCTAGTGACTCTCTCTGCATACAAGATCCCCATATATGCACCTCGTGGCCCGAAAGCCCCTAGTACCTGCTGGTGGAAAGAAAAGGATCTACATCCATTGCACTGAGCTACAAGAGATCACGAGTCATGCATCTCTGTTCTATACAGTAAATAAAAGCGGAATCAATCACCCAACCACAACAAGTTTCACCTGGTTTTATATCTATCTATCACTTTTCTTCTTTGCCCATGACCCGCATTTGCCACAACTAAATTTCCATGCCTACAGTAAATTGTACCACGTACAGTATCCCTACATAGTCCCGCCAAATCTGCTGGGTGTTCTATCAAATACTACTAGTACTGTACCATTATATACGATACTCTACAGTACGATACCCCCGAACAAGCTCCATACCAATTTCCCCTCCCCTGGAGAGCTGGTTTTGAAACAGTGGTGAAACCGGACAACGCAAAGGTCGTGTCATATACATATATCTACGTACGCGAAATAAAGGGGTATGTTCCGCGCCGGGGTTTCCCCTGGTACGAAGTGAGAACCATACATTGGTCCAAGGTCACCGTACGGCGATCCCATTCCGCACTCGCAGAGGGCGCCATGCATCGAGGGACATGGAAGTGGTACTCAAACTTGCCGCAGCAGGGGCACGCAGCTGAGTCTGCGGAACCCCACCAGACTTTGAACTTCCCTACACCACACATACCCACGACATGCTTTGTGGTCCAACGTTGGACACCTGCCGGAAGGGAGCTCATGGCGCGAGCCAGACTGGTCCAATCGGTCTCCAGCTCCGCCTCCGGTGTAATCGTCTGCCGCTTGTGCCATCGCTTGCGTAGAGCAGGCAGCGCCACCAGTTCCTGGATATGCTCTGGATTCAATCGCGACTGTTTGACGTCATCAATGTTGAGGGCAGCCAATTCGGTAAAGAAACGAGCGTTGGGTGCAATCAGTTGGTGAGAAGCTTCGAGCTGGTGACAATAAGCAACCGCCCACTCATCCACTTCCACATTCCGTTTGGACCACCAAGAGAGGCATGAAAAGGATGTCGCCTTATCAAGGTGACCGTACACGTGGCTAGGTTCCCACGAGGCCCTGGAGCGGGCAAGTGCCTCCCGGATAGAGGAGACCAGGTCAAACTGGGCTTGTTGCGGTGTGACTCGATTGTCACTAAAGGTGTTGAGCAACGCCAAAAACCCATCGCACGCAATCCTGACACGGGGTGGTGACCAAAGTGTTGGGGCCCACTGGTCCAGGAGCCAATCAACAACCATGATACCGGCCAGAAGGCCAATCAATTCACTCCGGTACGCGCTCTGGTCATCAGGTAGACCCGGAGTCTGGCACCGAACGATAATATGTTCCTTGCCAACCTTACGTGGAAGCAGTTGAACCGCTGCCGTGCCCAGACCGAGCTTATAAGAGCCGTCGCTGATCACACACAGCCGGTCTTCGAGTAGGGCTTCAGCAAGGAGGCTTTCGTCGCCATCGATCTCTATTTTGTCAGGGGTCCATCCGACATACTCGGTCACCTTGGCTGAGGCGGCCATCCAGGCGGCCAGTAAGGACGGGTCGTGGTGCGGCTGCAGCGGTTCTGTTCCAATGCCAGTGAGGGCAAGAGTACCGAGCGAAGGCGTGATGTGGACGGTAGCTCGGCACACGTCCTCTGGGAGTGGTTGGGTCCAAAGGGGAGCCGGCAAGAAGCAGGCTCCGTCGTCGGCGGACTCATGATGTGGTCGTTTGCGCCCGGACAATTGCGCAGAACAAGTATAGTCCTATTGAAGGCACCGTGTGGGGGAGCGACGGTGATGGTAGTGTTGCCATCCGTGGCCCTGGCGGTGGAACAATCCTTGGGTAGAAGACCATAACCAGTTCCAGTGGATGACGCAGTAGGCGCTGTGGTCCGTCAGAGACAAGTAGTGCTCGAGTAAGGTTCTCCTGCCACACCCTCCAGTGGTTCCTGTTGGGTCGGACAGTGCGAGGCCATTGATATGAAGAACGATGAGTGTAGTCGCGTTCCCCATGCCATATTGACTCCCGGATGCTGCGGCTGTCGGCCGCCACAATGTTGGAGACGGTGCAAACTTGGAGGAACATGCAACACCAGTTGAGCCACTTCAGAGCGTCCTGGTCCACTTGCAACTCCATGAATACCTCAATGAGCAAAGCATCGCCTTCACACCGGAGAGGGAGGACCGGAGTGTCGAGAGCAACATAGATATCCAAGTCCTCCAACTCTTTCCAGACTCTTTTGAGCCAGTTATCTGACGACAAAATTGCCGTGTTGCTATAGTCCTGCTGGAAGAGTCCGAAGGAGGTGCCGGTCTCAAGTTGGTGTTCTTGAACCGCAGCCTCCATATACGCCCCAGTTTTTGTTCGGTTGGACGAGTGGCGGAGCAGAACCCCAATATGTTTGGACACCTGAGTGCCAAACGGATGAGGGATGCCCAGACCCTGGAATTGGAGAGGGGCAAGAACCATGTCGCGGGGGAAGCTCCTGCAGATGCCGGCTTTTGGCAAACAGACTTGGAGAACGGGACTCATAATCGACACCCATGTCGCAGCATCCAGTGTAGTTAACACCATAGGATATTCCAAGGATTTCATCACTGTTGTCTTGATAAGGGGAATGACATCGTATTTGTGTAGATGCCCCGATCGCACTTGCTCTGACATCGCAGCTTGCGCATACGTTTGCCCAGATTGAGTGACTTTTGCTACTTGAGGCTCTTCAGGCTCAAATACAATCTCTTCTTCTTGCGGTTCTTGTAGATCCTCCAGATCAGTAACGAGGCTTCCAATATCATCGGTTCCTCTATCGATATTTTCTTGATGGTGATCCAAATCAGCCACAATAGGTTCTTCCTCTTCATCGCCTTCATCACCCAAATCGTCGTCATCTGATTCATAGTCATCATCCCCTTGGAATCTGACAGTGAGTTCTGGCATATCATCGACATCATTGTCTGCATCTGCCAAGAGCTCATTTCTTTTGGAGTCATCGATATCATCGAATTGTCCACGTAGGTTGAAATCTTGTTCATCTTCATCTTCAGGTTCATAGTCCTGATCAAAGGCTTCCTCTAAGTAACCTTGTTCCGTGTCATCCACTCCTGCAATTTGATTGCCATCTTGAAATGTCTCCAAATCTCTCTTCTTATCAAAGAACTTCATGGAAGTAACACCTTCGGCAGCAGCCCAAGCTTCAACACGCTGGATTACTTGATCGGTAACGGGTAGTACGACAACCTTGGGTCGAGAAATCATCTTCTTAGTATTGAGGTTGAGCACTCGGTGCCCTGTACGTTGTCCCTTCGTAGGTCCAATGTAGATCGCTTCAATACTTCGGGGTTCCATCGAATTGTTGGAATCCGTCCCAATTGCATGAACATACTGTCCAAGCTCAGCAACCATGTCACTCTTGTAGTTGATATTGACATTATCAATGAGTTGCTACGGATTGAATGTCTTTCTGGGGAAACACATTCAATAGCTCGGCGGCTCGACGTCCAAGACATTCAGTGATCACCTTTGGTGTTTGGATATGACGAAATATGAGTTTTTACGTTCCAAAAGAAACTATTCAAGTACAAAGTTTTCGACATGTGCTATCGGACTTTGATCGTGATGTCAGGATTCGACGCAAGTCTGCCGGACGCAAGTCTGTCGGACAATCTGGATCCACACAAAAAGGGAAAGACCCTATACAAGTGGAATATCGATTTTGTGTAGGATGCAGTAGGGAATAATTCAAGATGTCCCAAAGTACTGCATTTGACACAAAATCCTCGTAGAAGTCGAATGGAGTTCTGTAAACAAGGGATTTTCCAAGGGAAAATCGTTGAACTCACTTTTGTGATTGAATCATCAATTCAAGCCAAATATTAATCAAATAGGAACAATTTCACTCAAAGTATACCTAACACAGGAGAACTACTGTCGTGAAAGTGTTGTACAGTCGATTACGAATTTAGATTGCGGAGAGTTTGTTCTGAGCGCTAAAGGCACTCACGATAGAGCACATTTTGCTTTATTCTAACATTCAATCACAAAAGGCAACAAAACAAATTTACGTCAAGAACAGCACTGCCTTATCTACAAAGGAGT